ATCTACACTTCAAAATTTTTTTTCTACATCAACAATAAAATCCGTCCAACTTCAACGATTAACGTAATAATCAACATTCGAAATATGCTTAATTCAACAACTAAACAAAATCAACATCAACAAAAATTCCTCTTTTCTTCAACGACGATTTGCCTCACAACCAACATCGTAAATCGACTTCAAGTTCAACAACAAAAAACACGTTCAACAATTTGGGGACGAACGACTTTCTATGATCGAGGGAGGTTGGGACCCAGAAATTCTAATCACAGGGTATGCTGGGAAATAGAGACACGAGCACGAGGAAACAAACATGGCGGATGAAGAGGAGAGAATTAGGCGATGTGTCCGAGAGGAGTTAGAGCTAAATCTTGTCTCCAGAACTAGAAATTTAATTCATTCGGCGGCTTCGAGTTCTGTACCTGAATTGAATAATGTTTTTGCGGGCCAAACTGCACAAAGGAGCTCTTTTGGGCCGTCATCTCGACCGACTGTAAAAAGACAAAACATTCCGGGCCATTGGAATAGGCCAAAGAAGACGAAACAAGAAAAGACGAAGCCAGTCCAGTCAATTCCCAAGACTGTCTGGCTTTTGGAGAGACCAGATGACGATGTTGAGATAACAGACGATGGAAGTTATAGTGATTATGCTATAACTGAGGATTGCATCTTATTAAAGGCTGAAATTGACCTGAAGAGTGACCAAACCGAAGAGGCCATCAGAGGGGAACTAAAGACTGTTTTTAACAAACGATATCCTGACATTGGTCTGTATGATTTTGAGTTTGTGAAGAGGGAACGCAACGTAATTATCACTCCAATAGTGAAAGACAATCATGCATGGGATTTTAGTCATGTCAAGCATTTATGTGGAAACGGAAGACTGTATGTTAGATTGATAACTCATAACGTTGATGAAGTTTCTGGCAAAGCTCGTGACAAGTGCCAGGAGGAAACTGCGCCAGCAACCGCCAGCAATGTTGATTTGTGTAATGCCTCAAGCGGTGCTACCTTAGAGCCTGTTGATGAAACCTCTGAATCTTCAGCTCAACCTCCATGCTCTATTGATGATGACGATCATGATGATTTGTTAAGACCCTCTGGTGCTATCAACTCAATGCTGGATCAAGAAAGAGTGGAAAACCTATCGATGATGTTCCCTAGAATTCCTCATGATGTTATAAGAAATGCAGTGGTAACCTGCACATCCATAAATACTGCTGTCAATGTGTTGTTGCAATATGGAAATTTTGATCATGATATTAACCCCAGTACCAGCAGTGATGATAACAGTAACATTGTAACCCAAGAAAACCCACCACATTCGTCAGGGAGTCTTCCTTTTGTATTACAAAAGTTAAGAAGGAAAATGAAATCAAGGGGGATGCGAGAGAAGTTAAAAGTTGACCCAGAGGATGAAGTAATGGATGTATATAGTTATTACAAGAGTTCAGATTTTGACCCATTTATCCCTATCTTCATTTACTTAAAGGGACAACCAGCCATTGATACTGGTGGGGTTTTGCGTCAGGTTTTTAGCAATGTTTTCCATGCACTGGCCAACAATGAAGTAATCAAGAACATATTTGTTGGAAGTGAAGATAGACTACTTCCTGCTTTCAGTAATGAACTAGTTGTTAATGGGTTTTTTGAAACTCTGGGTAAAATGATTGCACACAGCCTTGTGCAGGGAGGACCAGGTTTTCCTTACCTCTCCCCAACGATCTACTGGTACTTGGCGACTGGTGACCTTCAAGTTGCTTTGCAGAGGGCCTCATGTGTAGATGTTGATAACCATGATCTTGTTGATTATATCACAAGGGTATGTGTTTGATTTCATAAAAATCCTCAGTACATTGAACTAGACTTTTTCGTGCCTTGACTTGTACACAAAAATGAGTTCCCCATATAATAATATGTATTGAAAAACTACTATCTATTGAATTAAAAAGAATTATTTTTATTAACCAGAAAGGTGTGCTTTAAAAGTGTTCAGAAAAGCTATTTCAATATTTTTATAGCTTCATCTGACAATGTATTGTACATGCTCAAGGATGTCACAGGAAAAAAATATTGTTTTGCTAATGGTGGCCCAACATAAGGCTACTAGAAGCCTCTTGTATCTAAAAATGGGGAAAATAGCATTGAATCCATTGTAATCATTCCAATAGGCTAACATATAAAAATACAGTAGAACCTCGGTTTCCCAAAACACCCAAGAATAATATTATTCAAACCAAAACAGATTTCCCTATTAATACAGTGTAATTTTACCCCTGATTTTTGTAACCTCCCAATAACTGAAATCCAGGAGGTTTGAAAAATTGGGATTCCACTGTATGTGACTGTGACCTTAATTTTTCATTGATCTTCAGATCACTCTTGCACCAGACAATGAACTGCCTGGTATCTCAGCAGAGTCTGGTTTCCTGCAGTTGATGTCAGAGGCTGGAGAGAGTAGAATACTCAGTGTAAGTGAGAAACCTAAGCTCATTAGGTGTTAAAAAGAAAATATATATGAATGACTATTTCAAGTTGTAGTTTTAAATTATTTTGCTTGGCTGAAAACAGTTGAAAGTACAAGAGTGTTTATTGAACAGAGATTATCAGAAACAAAAATAACTCCTTCACAGGGGATCATCAAAAAACATTAATGGACCCTAGTAACTGTTGCAATGAAACCTCATGCAGCTGATATGAGTGTTAAATATTAACAACTTTCCTAGTTGAATTTTACCATCCCTATAATGGAATGCAATTTTTCACTTGAAGGCTTATAGCATTAAGAATGATGTTGATGCCGACAGGTTGAACCCATGGAGACCTAAGGTCTAATTTCTCATCTTCGTCATTAATTTGGTTTGTTTCAAATTTGTAGCCTAAGAACAAGATTGATGTTATGCAGTCTCTTATGCTGCATAATATTCTGGTGAGAAAAAAGTCCATTTTGGATCAGTTCAGAGGAGGATTATCAATCCTAGGCCTATTGGATGAGATCAAAAGTTGTCCACAGTTGTTTGAAGATTGTTTTGTTCATAAAGATGAAGTAAGCAATGAGTCAGTGGCTAGTTGTCTACATTTTACTGCCAATGAGGATGAAGGCGCAGAGAGAGTGTTTCAGATGCTTCAAACATTCATCCGAAATAGCAGTCCAGATGATCTTGACAACTTCCTCAGGTTTGTGACTGGTTCAAGATCCTCAGGGACATGTATCCTACCAAGACGCATCACAGTATCTTGTGCAGCTGCAAATAGCATATTTGCATCAACCTGCCTTCTTGATCTCAAACTGCCAAACCATTTTGACAGCTATAGAGATTTTGAAAGCTCAATGAGGTCGGTAATTAAGGGAAACACATTCACCACTGGTTGATCACTCATGGTCACTCAAGCATATTAGGTACACAACAGTCCAGGGGAAAGTCCTGCAGTACTTAAAAATATTCCTGCTGCTTTCCAGTTTCACTTGGGTCATCATGGTTTCTCCCTGAATCCTTCATTGACTTTTAACAGCAACTGTTAAAAATTTAAGTGTGGGATTGTTTTTTGGACTTCATCTTTTGGTAATGGGATTTTTCAGGTTTCCCTTAAAGCTTGAGGGAGTTTGGGGGATAAAAAATTGGTCAGAAACCAATTTGCACCTCCTAGTCACTTTGGAGTACACCAAGTGGGACCTTCCCCTGTTATTTGTTATTTAAACTTAAATCAGAACACTGTTTATCTAAAAAAAACAGTGGTTGAAATTTGCACCTCATAGTCACTTTGGAGTACATCGAGTGGCGCCTTCCCCTGTTATTTGTTATTTAAAGTTAAATCAAAACACTGTTTACGTTAAAAACAGAGGTTGAAGTTTGCACCTCCTAGTCACTTTGGAGTACACTGAGTGGCGCCTTTCCCTGTTGTTCGTTATAATTTAAACTTAAGTCAAAACACTGTTTATCATACAAAACAAAGGTTGAAAATTTAAAGTAAGAAACAGCAAAATACACATTGGAATAATGTAACAAAGTACGTTTAATATGCTAAATTGACATTTTGAAAAATGAACATTGTTATTTTATACAAAACAACAAAGTGATGAGAAAAGCATTAGAAGCTAGAGTGCAGACATTATACACATGAAATACTTTTAACTATTTCTGGATTTCAGGCTAAATAGCAGTATTCAAACAAAAGAACAGAATAGATATAGCACTGTTTTGATTTTGCAGTGTTGTGTGAGTCTGATACCTGCGCTCTTATCCAGAGAATTATCGATTTGTTCAAATTCTATTAGAACGCCTACAATGCTTTGGAAATCCCTACTGCTGGACTGTACAAGTACGTAGTCTATGAACAGCAATAACAAGTAGGGTTGACATTAGTTTTATTAAGAGATTGTATGTTACTGTTGGTAATAAACATGTTTGAAATTCAACAAAATGTACTCTTCAGTGTGTAACTTGCTTTCTATGGTCCATTATTCAGCTGTGAGTTCTGCTGAATCCAAGCACAAGTCAGGATGGGCAAGTCAAAGGGGGGCTTTTTACACAGATTGTCAAGATACCACCCTATTGGCCACCATCTACAAGGAAAGGAGAGGAGGTCCTGCACTTGAGCTGACATTAAGTCAAATGATAGAGCCTAAGCTAAAATTTTTTTTTTTGATTTTGACCCCTGTAAGTACCAATACTATACAGTGTATGAACATTTCTTGCCCAAAATCTATGTTCTTACAAGCAGCCTGGTTTTTACTGTAGTCAACCAGAGTTGTTGCACCATGTACACAAGATTGGACGTTAGCCCTGCCAAAAAACTGAAAATGGACCTAAACACAAAATGTCCTAAGTTTGATTCCAACACAAAATTTGATTATTCAGATAATCAAATCCCCAGGATGCCATGCATTTGGACGAAATTTGTCCAAAAATTTAGATAAAGAAATGTAGGGTCCCTTTTCAATGGTAGGACACATACCAGACAATGCTCACCCCCAAAATGATCAGCCATTACAGTGTACATTACTCACTGGTAACTAAACCTTGAAGAATAGCGAGGCAATGTGTGTATATATCAATTCCATAACGATTCGATTCTTGTAGTGGATTGACCATGGTACAGAGCTGCTCTAAGATATGATCTGAAAGTGGACTGTCGTCGTCAACTTCCACTATGGGTAATTCGTCATCCATTGGTGTAGGTGCAGCTGGATCAAATCCATACCAGTCTAAATCATCAATAGATGGCTCTGCCTGAGCTACATCTGCTACTGCAGTTAAAGTACGGTTTCTGATATCAACCATACCATTGGACCAGATTCTTTGCGGGCTCCAGTTGTGCTCAGTTCTAAGAGGATGGTTATTCCATGCTGTTTTAAAACTTGTTATAGCTCTGTTTATACGGGGCAAAAACACATAGTGCAGAGCAGATTTATGAATTGGGTTATCCATATTCAATAAACCATTCTCTTCCATTGCCTGAAATGTGTAATAAAAAATGTGGGCTACACAGCGAAAGACATCCCGCCAAAGCCGTTCGATCCTCTGGTTGTGGGTTGACGTGCCTGCCAAGTAGCTTCCTCTATTAGGGCCTCTCCTTACTTCCATTTCTTGCCAGATGCCAACATTTTCCCCACCTCGATCTGTCCGGACCCTTGAGGGCAATCCAAATGACTGGATGGCACGTAGGAACAGTTCTTTTACTGTGTCACTACGATTATTTGTTGAGCAATGGAGGTAAGTGATTAAACGTGAATAGCCATCAATGGCCCCATGTATAACGAATCCCCAGGATATCAGAGAATGGTGGCCATCTATATGCCACAAGCTGTTTGGGCCAGGCACACAGTATGCACGTCGAGAGATGGTAATAGCCCATCGAATTCTTGCATTTCTCGGGTCAATTCTTGTCAGGCTCTTACGAATGCGATCTCGCTGGATTCTGATTCCCTGAGATCGAAAATGTCCACAAATCATGGATGATCCAACAAAGCACCCATGTTCTTGCAAAAAGTTCCCCACTTTGTTGTCCAGCTCATCATCACTAATTTCATCAAATTTTGACAAATGCTCTAACCCAAATTCAGCGACTCTGCGCTGAATTGTCCAGCGTGACACCAATAGCATTCGAGCTATTTCATTCCAGTTAAAGCCCAGTGTCCTCAGCTCGATTAGAGTTTCCTCATTTATATCAAACTTGGGTCTTCCTGGTTGTCCGGTTTTAATAGTTTCTGGTAAACTTAATGACAAAACGGCTACTTGAGAACATCTCGAACGACAAGGAAAATCACTGTGACGAATGTAGTCCCAGTACATTAGCCGGAGATTGTGTGCAATTTCGGACAAGGTGGCAAATGAATGTAAATGTTGGATATGAGGAAGCACATTTCCTAAAGCTTGAACAGCATTTTCAAACCTCTCCAGAAGAGTTTCGTCTAAGGAAACGTTTGTAGTAAAGTTTGACACTTTCAATTGCTCATAATCTAAGACTAACTGTTCCAAATCTGTAAAAAAGGAGTTCCACCCGTGGTTGGTAACCCCGGCCGCCATGTTTGTTCAGGACGTGAACAATCGATGAAATCGATAATCGATGGTAATCGATAACAATCGATGACAATCGATATCAATTAATCGATTGATATTGATAATCGATGGAGAATCGATGACGAAAATTTTTGTGATTAATTTTATTACTTAATTTTAAAACTTAACTTAAAACGTCTGTTGTTGGTTTTCACATGACGTCACTAAAATTCAAACTACAAAACTATCTATCCTACTGAGATTTTACTTTCATGGTGTAATAGAGCAGCTGAAAACAAATTTTCAAACAAATTTTCGCTTCAAAAAGGTTCTTGGTTTTTTAATAGAGTACGCTTGAATTTCTAAGCTTTTGCGTGACGCAGCATTTACATGACGGCCGAGAGAGCTGTCATTTAGGTTTTAAAAAAGTTACTTTTTTCGAGGTTAAAATAATATACGATCTGCGTACACTCCCGCGATACCTAAAGATACGGAGACATGAATTTAGTGCCAATCGATGGCAATCGATGAAGTTCGCGACCACCCAAGTGTGATTATCGATTGATCATCGATTGGCCGACGCCAATCGATGCTAATCAACAGTTATTAATCGATTGTCATCGATTGTTCGATTGATTTTCCGATCATCGATTTTCATCGATTGTTCACGTCCTGGTTTGTTTCCTCGTGTCTCTATTTCCCAGCATGCCCTGTGATTAGAATTTCTGGGTCCCAACCTCCCTCGACCATAGAAAGTCGTTCGTCCCCAAATTGTTGAACGTGTTTTTTGTTGTTGAACTTGAAGTCGATTTACGATGTTGGTTGTGAGGCAAATCGTCGTTGAAGAAAAGAGGAATTTTTGTTGATGTTGATTTTGTTTAGTTGTTGAATTAAGCATATTTCGAATGTTGATTATTACGTTAATCGTTGAAGTTGGACGGATTTTATTGTTGATGTAGAAAAAAAATTTTGAAGTGTAGATTGGTTGTTAATGTTGGTAGTGATTTTGATTCGTTGAATTTTGCACCATTCCGCCTACCATATTCTTTTGGATGTTTTGGGACAAACTGTCTAATTTGTCTTCACCATGTTTAGTTTTGCGACAAGAGTCAGAAAGTTTGCGTGTGATTGAGTAGACCACGTTAATTGGCACCTTAACACCCCATCCGTTGAGTACGGGATCGAACGGAAGGCAACAGACATCAGGTAGGTAGATTTATAAGATAATTTTAAAATTGCGAGAATTAAACTTTGTGAGGCTTTGAATTCTTCCCCATCCGAACTTCTGGCCTCTAGTTTAATTATGCGTCAGTCAATTGAAACCCCGGCCCCCCGGCCCCCCGACCCCCGCGGCATAGCGGGAGATTGCGGGAATATTTAAGGTGACTCGACCCAGTTATTTTGTGAGGGTACCATCCTACTTTGAAGCTCTCTGGTATCCCCACCTTTACTTTGATCGTACGTCTTACATATAGCATGGATAACATATAGATCAATCTACAATATAGCATAAAATTTTTGGCGATCGGAGTAAATGTCACGTGGTTATAGTGCCATGCGTTTTGGGGTCTGAGTCGAAATTCTGTTGTTGCCGGCATTTTTACGTGAAAATTTCTCGGCTACATATAGTTCGCATTAGTGCCTTGTGTTGAACAGAGTTTCACCAAAATCGCAAAGACCCAATGTAAGAAATTCAGCAGTTTCCAAATTTAGGTCATAATTTATGTAAAAATGATAAGCAAACTTTAAACGATTATGTCTAATAAACTATGAGATTTATCCCTTTATTTTGGGGATCTTTATAACAGATGGGTCCTTGCAAGTCAGCAAAAAGCTTTAGCGCCTTGTAAACGCACATGACTTCGAGCAATGCAAACATATAAAGATTATAGTTTTAGCTATTTGTTGACGTTTGTGAGCGTTTAAGAGTCCTTCTCACGAAAAAAGCATTTTCTTCAAAGCTCATAGTTTTTTTTTCCTTCAAATTTTTTCAGGGCCACAATTGATTACCTTACTACCCAGATTCTGAATTTCATGGTCATTGAAAAACTGTGACATTATCTTTTATAAGCCCAAACTTAAGTAAACATTGAAGATTTTTAGCGTTTTGGCTGAGTTTGTGCTATTGTTTCTAGTCTGTCATGACACAGCATTCTTGTTTAGCTCGCGTGCAATGACCACGCTTGGCTGACTTCCGATGCTCACCGAGATATGATAATTTTGGTACGGTGAGACAGGAGATCGCGTGATAAAAATAGGTTTAAGTCACGATTTTTAATTGTGCCTTTGTAAGAAAATGAAGAAATGCTACACAATCTCTCCTCCGTGAACTTCCTCTCTCACCCGAATAGTATTCAACACCCGGCCATTTTCTTTTTAGAGCTTCTAATTCTTGGCATGATGTACACTCAGCTGGATGGAGATGTTACGTGAGGGGAATCCCTTCTATTTTCTCATACTAAATTATCATATCTCGGTGAGCATTCGGAAAGAAAACATACAAACCATTTATCATTTATCGTCTCGAGGATGTATCTCCATTTTGTAACAATTCAAACAGTAATGAATAATAAGTGTCTCTCACACAGGCCACCTTAGAAATCCCACTGCTTTACTTTCAATGCACAGGTACCCTTTACACTAGTGGTGGATCCAGGGGAGGACACCAAGTACCCCCTTATTTTTAGACTCCAGTGAGGTCCAAAGGGCGGAAATTTTTTTTTTTTACGACCGCCCCTAGTTCCTCCCCCCCCCACCCCACTGATTGTAAGAGTCCCAATTTTAAGACCCCTGCTTGTAAGAGTCCTGGTTGTAAGAGTCCTGATTATAAGAGCCATGGTTGTAAGTGTCCTGGTTGTAAGACCCCTGGTTGTAAGAGTCCTGGTTGTAAGACCCCTGGTTGTAAGAGTCCTGGTTAAAAGAGTTCTGATTGTAAGACCCATGATTGTAAGACTCCTGGTTGCAAGACCCCTGGTTGTAAGAGTCCTGGTTGTAAGACCCCCAGTTGTACGAGTCCTGGTTGTAAGACCCCTGCTTGTTAGACCCCCGCTTGTAAGACCTCTGGTTGTAAGAGTCCTGGTTGTAACAGTCCTGATTGTAGGACCCCTGTTTGCAAGACCCCTGGTTGTAAGACTCCTGGTTGTAAGAACCGTGGTTGTAAGACCCCTGGTTGTAAGTCCCCTGGTTGTAACAGTCCTGGTTGTAAGACCCCTGGTTGTAAGACCCCTAGTTGTAAGACCCCTTGTTGTAAGAGACCTGATTGTAATACCCCTGGTTGTAAGAATACTGGTTGTAAAAGTCCTAATGGTAAAACCTCTGGTTGTAAGAGTCCTGGTTGTAAGTCACCTGGTTGTAAGAGTCCCTGTTGTAAGACCCCTGGTTATAAAAGTCCTGGTTGTAAGAGTCCTGGTTGTAGAAGTTCTAATGGTAAAACCTCTGGTTGTAAGAGTCCTGGTTGTAAGTCCCCTGGTTGTAAGAGTTCTGGTTCTAAGAGTCCTGATTGTAAGACCCCTGGTTGTAAGACCCCTGGTTGTAAGACCCCTGGTTATAAAAGTCCTGGTTGTAAGAGTCCTGGTTGTAAAAGTTCTAATGGTAAAACCTCTGGTTGTAAGAGTCCTGGTTGTAAGTCCCCTGGTTGTAAGAGTCCTGGTTCTAAGAGTCCTGATTGTAAGACCCATGGTTGTAAGATCCCTGGTTGTAAGAGTCCTGATTGTAAAACCCTTGTTTGTGAGAGTCCTGATTGTAAGAGTCCCTATTGTAAGACCCCTGGTTGTAAGACCCCTGGTTGTCAGACCCATGGTTGTAAGACCTCTGCTTGTAAGATCCCTGGTTGTAAAAGTCCCGGTTTTAAGACCCCTGGTTGTGAGAGTCCTGTTTGTAAGTCCCCTTTATGTAAGAGTCCTGATTGTAAAACCCTTGGTTCTGAGAGTCCAGGTTGTAAGAGTCCCTATTGTAAGACACCTAGTTGTAAGACCCCTGGTTGTGAGAGTCCTAGTTCTAAGAGTCCTCATTGTAAGACCCCTGCTTGCTAGACCCCTGGTTTTAAGACCCGTGCTTGTAAGACACCTGGCTGTAAGAGTCCTGGTTGTATGAGTTCTGATTGTAAGACCCCTTGTTGTAAGAGTCCTGGTGTTGAGGCCTCAAATGTAATAAATGACCCTAAATGTAATAAAGGTCCTAAGTGTAATAACTTTTGGCCCTAAATGTAAGAAAGGGTCTAATTATATGTGTAATGGGTTTTAGCCCTAAATATAATGGAAGTCTTAACAGTATACATGTATGCAGTATAACAGCCCCAGCTTGATAAAGTCCCTGACTGCAACATGCGACGATATTAATGTTATAGCCAGCTGGCGATTCACTTCCTTCGCCCTATTGTAGTCTACATAGATATTCATTAACTTAGAAAGCGGCTAGAGCGCTCAAGAAGTAGGAGAAACACTTAACTACTTCTCGATAGTGTTTCCTACTACATCCCTACATCGTGAAACGCGAGTTATAAACAAATGGAATCTACACAAGAGTTTTCAAAATACAGTAGTTATTTAGTAATTGAAGGAAGTATTAATGTTCATTAGAAACAATCGTGGTAAAGTGACTACTTTTGCCTATGGAGTTTTTTAATGTTGCGCCAAAAAAAGAAGTTTTTTTTTTTTTTACCATTTTCCAAAAGAGTATGTCGGTCGGTCCATACAGAATGTTGTGAACAAGAAGGTATATATAAACAGCAAGACATTAAGGGCAGTGTATCTTTATAGTTCTTCTGACTTCCCGACTTTGATTTTAATTTCTACCAGGAGTACTTCTTGAAGTGAATTTTTATGCTAACTTTTTTTTCCAGGATTTTACCACATGAATGAAATGACATTTTCAAATAACAGCTGGCTTTCCTGTTTTTCTAGCAAGTATATCAGGGG